ATGCAGTGACAAGGCCTTTACCACATCCCAGCCCTTGATCTTACATTTACCAACCTCTGAAATTATGAGAAAATAAATGTAGTGTTATTATAAATACTATAGTATTTTGTTATAGCAGCATAGAATTGACTGGTATAATTAAGGTTATGCAGACAGAGTGTTTAATAGAGTACCCACTACATGGTATTTGATAAACGTCACCTCTTATTACTACTAGAAGTACAGCACTGAATTAATTTCAGGGACAGATGAACTAGCTGTTTTGCAAAAATTCTTTCATCCATTACTCTAGACATTTGAGAAATCATTTTAGATTGTCCAACAATCTCTGCTATTTTCCAGAAAATTCCAGTAGAAAACATGGAAGGGCACATTCAGGCACTTTCAAAAGTGCTTTCTAAAGTGTATTGTTTTCTCGTAGTGGATCCTAATCCAGAGAAGAGCGAGGTAAACAGGTCTTGAGAGACCCCAAATCCAAGGTTACGGCAAGGAGGTCAGGCGGGCTGCTTTGTTAGTAGTATGCTCCTAACAGAGAGTGTGATGGTGCCTAATTCATTCTTCACACTCGCTGGGCAGAGGAGCTGATCTGAGAGCTTCCATAGGTGTTTAAAGTTCAAGGTGTGACTGCACATACATATCTATCTATACTTCATTTTAAAAAATTCAAAGGTAATTTTTAATATTATATTGTAATGTTTAGAGGCTCTCTAGTCACCTGACTCAATTCCAGTATTGACAATTTATTTCCCCTCTTATCATTTATGCACAAATTTTAGTAACATGGACATTTTGGAAAACTAAATACTTTTACATTGGTTCCTTTGGTTTTGTTTTCTATCTCACTGAATTCCACTCCATATTATCTCCTTATTTCTTATTTCACATTTAATTTTCCTTTCCATTTCTCAACTTCTTAAATTCACAGCAGAACACTAATTATGGTCATTTCTTCATATATATATATGATATTTTCTAATACCCTATAGTATCTATTTATTATTTGATTAATGTGTTAATATGAAACATGGTGACTTAATTTCTGATTATTGGGTACAGTCCAAGGTGCCTTTTGTTGACACCTTTTTCATTTTAATTTTTATTGCTACATGTTTGCAGCACATAATTGCATTCATGAGGAAGAGTTACTGCTGGACATAACACACCTTAACTCTTTTTACATCCCCTTTCTCCCTCTTCCTCCCACCTCTATTTCCTAGTCCCCTTCTCATTTGCAAAAGAGCTATTTCTGTGTTGTGACTGAAGAGCAATCTGTATGATTTAACCTTTTAAAAGTGTATCCACACTCACTTGGTGTTTCAGCACGTGGTCCACCTTGTAAATGTGCCGTAAGTACTGGAGAAGAACATCTACTGTGCCATGACTGGGGGGAATGTGTTTGTCAATCAGGTAAATCATTTCTGCCTGTATCTGTTCACATCTTCTGTGCCTTAGCTTTTGTCTGCCCTTCCTATTTTATCCCTTACTGTAGCATTGAAATCTCTGTCATTTTGGATCTGTCTGTTTCTCCTTCCAGTGCTGTCAGTTTAATATTCAGATACTTTACAGTTTTGTATTCGGATGCGTACTTAGTTTAATTACGTCTTCTAAATGAACACATGGTCTTGACCTGTCCATCATGGTGCTATGCCTCATTTTAGTGTACTTTATCTTGACATCTATTTGCTGCTGCTACTGTGATCTGTCTGATTTCATAATGTCATCAGATGACTTAAGATTTTTGGTCAGTATACTTTTAAACTGTTCCTTTTTGTGTATTTAAGGAGGTCCTTATTTATATTTTGTAGACCATATTCTTACATTGAGTTTCTTTTAGTAAGCAGGTAGTTGTCCCTTGCTGTTATTCATGGTTTGACAATTTGTATTTTAATTGACCTGCTAACTTACACTTCATTCAGTTACAAATACACAATGTTGATCACCTTGCCATTTGTCCTGTTTGTCCCATCTGTTCTTTATTCTTTTGTTATGCTTTTTCATCTTTCTCTTGGATTGCTAATATTTATGGTTCCACCTTTGCTCAGTTCTAGGCCTATTACTTCTTGGTATTTTGGTGTGTATCCTTTTTAAATTTTCTTATGGTTAACAAATCCTTCTTTATCACAGTGTAACTTCAAATAATAATATAAAGAACATTACAGTAATGTGCTATCATTTATGGCTTCCATTTGTACTATTGCTCTCATTTGTATTATTTCCACAAATATTATAAACCATGTGAGATGCTGTTTTTTCATTTAGTTATAATTTAGAAAGTCAACACTTTTTAACAGTTGTCTAGATAATAATCACTTTTATAACACTTCATTTACATACATTAGTTTTACAACCACATTTATTTAATATCCATTACTCAAGAATTGTCTTTAACTTTTCTTGTATGCAGGCCTGCTAGTGAGAAAATCTTGCTGCTTTTCTTTGAAACTTATTATGCTGCCTTCATTTTGAAAGATTATCTTACAAAGTATAAAATATAAGTAATATATTTACTTTTATTTTATTCATAAAATTATTTCCTCATAGTTTTAATTCCAAGTTTTTTTCATAAATTTGCCTTAAAACATCTTTGTTCTTGTGTCTGTAACATCTTACTTTTTCATTACAATATTTTGTCATTTTCCCTTGTTTTCAGCAGTAATTTATAATATTTCCTAGTGAGTTTTTGATTTTTATCCTGCATAGATTTTATTGAGTTCCTCAAAAATGTGCCTATAATTTTCATCAATTTGAAAATTTGGGGCCATTGTACCTTTAAATATATTTCTTGTTCTCACAGCTCATCGCTCATGGGATGCCAGTGAGTATATTTACAATCATTTAGAGTTGTCATAAAATTACAAATGAAAATCTTGTAGATTCAATGGCAGCAAAATGTGAAGTGTGCTCACGTGTGAGGTTCCACCTTTATCACTCCCATGGAGAGAGAATGAGTGTAATCACCAGGCACTGCCCAGCCGGGTGGAGACACTTTATAATCCACTCCATATGGCCTAAGACTGGAGATCTTGTGAGTTCCAAGCACGTTTGGTGCTAAGAGTTTAAGATAAGAGATTGTGTCATTGGTGTTCTTAACTCTGCTGTTTTCTCTGAAAAAAACAATAACTTTCTTTTACAGAACAAGTTAGCAAAAGTTTTTAAAAGGAGCCTACTTGCAGTACAGTTCTGTTGAGATACAGGACCAGTCTTAAAAATATGTGAAAAATGCAAATGTTCCTTCAAACACATAATCTAAAATTTACAACACAGAGATATGCCAGACATGGAAAGGAGGAAGCATCTGGTCACCGGTTTGGATTCTCTCCAATGTGACACTTGTTTTAGTGATTCAGGAGTTAGCATCTTGAGCTTCAACTTCGTCTTCATGATACTGAGACCACTCTTCACCAGACATCTTGTTGTACCTGGGGAGCTCACTTGTCTGTCTGGCTAGGAGATAGTTTGTCTGCCTGGCCTTTGTATGTTCAGAGGTTGGTACATGTGTTTGACTGTCTGGCTTCCTAAAGGTCCATCTGACTGGGACACTGCTGTACACCTTAATACATCTCCATGTTCAATCAGTGTTGTGGAACTATAATATCAGTGTCTATATTATACATAAGTTAGTGTAACATCTACATATATATAGTAAGTTACAATGTATATGCACTATTCTATAAGTCATAAGATTTAATAATATTTAATAAAGTAACATTGTCATAGCCAACCATGTACTAAGTGCTAGTTTAGGTGTAACACTGGGTCATTTAATATCTTAAAACATTCATGTAAGGTAGGTAACACTATTGACATCACTACTGTACTGATGATGAAAGCCAGGCTCAGAGAGCCTGAACACCTTTAGCCAGGGTAGAGTGACCTGTTTGAGATACGTGGTGAACACTGCATACCAAAAATGTTTTACTTGGTCTTAGAGGGCATACTCTTCACCAACCTAAAGTAAGTTCATAGGCCTAAGAGTTGCATACAAAGTATCATTTTATTTTATATTCTACATTCATATGCATTTTAACTACATAAATCAGTAAATGCTTAAATCATATAATTACTTAAAATTCAGCATGTTTTATCAATTTTACTTTAGAAAGAATACCAACAGTATATTGTTGGCTATATACATTTCTTATAAAATTGTTTTACTGTCTGCATTAAAATATTTTTATTTACATATTTTTCTGTATTGTGTATATTTTCTTATAAGTTATTTTGTGTTCTTAACATGTTTTGTATATTCATTTTTTATAATTATTTAGTAAATATATTGTATTATGCTTAAATTTATACATTGTTTTTATGTTATAATAACCATATATTACTTATGTTACCTAGTATATATAATAAGGCTCCACATCTGTAATTGGTTTTAATTGTCTTAATTATAATTAACCTTCCATTCAGGTCCAACATCAGGAGATACCTGCAGCGCCCTCCACCCTGCCCCAGCCACGCCCCTACCCAGAATTCTGTCCATAGGTGACAGATCTATGGCTCTAAGCAATCAGACCTTCGGGGCCTAACCTAGTGGTTTTGGGTGTGCAGTGTCACTCAGCTGGCCAAGGATCAAGTGCGGGCAACCTGGAGAACGTCACACAGATGCAGAGACACAGATATAAAGAGTCACCCAGAGACAGAAAGCCTGAACAGCTAAAGAGGTCCGCACTCGCGCTACCCCTTTCTTAAACTGTGACCTGGGAGCGCCTTCTGCTAGCTGTTCAGAACCCTCGCAACGTTCCTCACATTGCACTGCTCTTCAGGCTTCCCGGAACTGGAAGATTTCATTTAGTCTCAGCGTTCCTCTTTCTTTTGAAGCCAGTGGAGCCCTCAGCGGGCCATCGAACCCGTCCCTTGTCCAGTCAGAGGGCAGAGCTGCGCGGTCCGGAGCCAACCAAGAAGTAGAAGCCCCTCAAAGCCACGCCCACCAACGCACCCCTCCCCTTTACACTGGAAACCTAATCTGATGGTTCTGCCCACAGACCCCACCTTACTTAACGAGTAGCGTCAGGGCGAACTTTTACTCATCTGGATAAACACTGCACATCCTGCACCTTTACTTTTGCAGCTCCATTCTCGGTGCCACAAGGGTGTCCGGAGGTCGAGCTTCCGTTGCTCCAGGGCCACGGAGCCCTTTGACTGATCTCGGGGATTCAGGAGTGATTTCCACTTCCGGGAGGTCCGCCTCTTATTTTAGGATCCGAGTTCCATAGGCCGACCAGACTGCGCGCCGCAGTCCGACTGGACCCAACAACTGCTCCTCAAGAATCCGCCACACCACAGTCTCTTACCCATTCCAGCCTTTCTTGGAGGTTAAAGAATGAAATTACCGCAGTTTTGGGGGACCACGTTTATTGGACCGGTGCGAGTATCCTTTAGGGCTTAGGCTGTAAATGTCCTTAAGTGAGAAGAGAAAAAAGCTGGAGCCTTCCTGGGCCCAGTGAGATGTCACTAGCAGATGCCAAGTACAGGTCTGGTTACGATATGGGCTGGACGGGAGGAAGCGACGGACTCCCCGGATTGGGCCAGAAGAAGAAAGGCCCGCCCTATGTGCGCCAGGATTGGCTGAGTGCGAGCCGCGCTCCCCTCACTCCAGCAGTCAGAGAGAGAGAAGTGGGACGTTGTCACCTGGCTTCCGACTTCCAGCAGGTTCCTTGGAACAGTTCAGAAGGGTACGCTGTGTTCCAGACTCGATGTAAAATAGATCTGGAGAGGCGTGCTCCATCGTAACGGTGAGGGGGCTGCGGAAGAGAAGTGTCGCGGGGAGCGACTGAAGCTCTACAACCGGAAGTGTCATCAGTGAGGCCCCGTTTCCTGAAGTGTGGCTAAACCTGAGAGCAACCGGAAATGTGGTGCTGCCCTGGCTTCGGAGTCAGGATCAGTTGAGAACAGGTGTTTATGTATCTTTATTTCCCTCGGGCTACTAGAACCTCTCTGTGCGGAAAGCGTTGCAGGGTGCAGGTATTTGGACATAATTTTGAATGTCTCATCCCGTGGAGAGCTGTGGGGGAAACAAGCTGTGAGAATGTGTCCAGGGGGGCTGGCTCTGTAAAGGCTTCTGAGAAGTTTCTTTTGCTGCCTGGCATCCTCGGATTCCCCTTTCCCCCAGGGTTGTGCAAATGGAGGCCAGCAGACTGTTGCCCTAGCCCCCCGGGGACGCGCAGGACTTGGAAGCCATGCAGTTCCCTAGTGAGAAGACAAGATGGTGGAGTTCCGTCGGGCCCACCAGAACCCGGACACGCGGACCTGGAGGAAACAGATATATGCTCTCCTCTCTAGGGTCTTGGAAGACAAGCCCTGGGGGGTGGGAGGGGACATGTTGGGCAAGGCAGAAGAGTAGTAGTAGAAGATCAATGAAGAGTCTTTGGGAACTCGGGGAAGTAGCTTGAACAGTAGCCGAGTCAGGAGCAGGTAATAGTAGACTCATTTGTGTAGTTTAAATCAGTAAGAAATTAAAAGGTAGTCAGTAGGTGTCCGCTGGGGATCACCAAGTGCAGTTCTGTGGTCCTGGAAGATGCATGTTGTGGGGGATCAAATCTAGGGAGAGGGACCATCTCTGTTAGTCCAGGAAAATACCCATTTTAGTACTGGAAGACCCTTTTCCCAGAAAACTCTCAGTTCTGGGCAAACCATAAAGTATTTGGTATGAGTTCAGGTGACTGGCAATCAACAAGAGTCTGGTTGGTGTCAGAGAGGGCCACTGGGGGCCTAAGGTATTTATGTTAATGAACACCAATAGGGTCAAAGGAGGAACTATTTAGAAGTTAAGTGTTTGAGGGCACTTTGGGATGGGAAAGGAAATCAGTGGGGGAGTGCTGAGCACTCAGTGTCAAGCATGGAACAGTGCAAGAACACTCGCCAAAGCTGTTGGTGGTTCATGGTGGTAGTGAGGGTGTCAGGTTGCTTCAAATGCACTCATTTGACCTCCTTCATAATGAATGAGATCTCTCACAGGTACCTTTCATATCCAAAATTGTACACTAAGTACGGATTCTGTTTGTGGGTTGACTTTTATGTTAGAATCTGAGTTTAATAAAAGCCCAATGATTGTTCTTACTTGTTCTGAGCCGCAGCTCTGGTATATTTAAAGGCGATGGATCCTTTATCTCTCCTGAGCCCAGAGAGGCAGGAAATGCACCGAGTTCTTTGATGGTGATTTCAGCCAGATGTAAATAAAGGTCTAAGGGAAGAGGACATCTACTCATTCTCCCCATGACAGCATCAGGAACAGTCTTGCATCTCCAGGATATTTTCAATGAAACCTGCTCCAAAGGCAAAAATTTGCATTAAAATGTTGAATTAGATTTCTTAAGAACGCTGTGATATTTCAAGTATCTTGTCAAATGGTACTTAAGAGGAGACAGGTTATGCTACAAGCCGAAGATAAACACAGGTCACTGTAAGACAGGTGCCTGTAAATAACTTCAGTGTTAATTCGGTTTTCAAGATTATATTTCAGGGTAGTAGATCTGGCAAGCAAACAGATGCCTTTTATGGTTAACGTTTCCTTTATGCGGACAGTATTTGTTGTCTGATTTGCCAGTTTACTCTTATACTCTCTCTTTTTGTTGAGTAATTTGAACAAGGATCAGACTCTCCTACCTGGCTATAGCTCTGACTCCTCCTTTGATGAGCAGTGTGATTTTCTGCAGACCTTTTTTATCTTATGGATTAAAGATACTGAAGTCCTTTTTTAGTTTAAAAAAGCCCCTTTTAATAGGTATGAAATTATAAGTAATTTGTTTTCTGAAGTCCTATATTTTTTATTATGTGTTTTTGCTCATGAGAGCTACAAGAAATTCCAAAAAAAATACTCCTTGTAATTGTTTCTACATTTATTGTCATATCTTCCCAGAAACAGTCCTTTCTCTGTAATGGAAAGGCACTCCATCAAATTCCAATTTCTTGGTACTCCATTTTTCTCACAGACCTTTAGTTAAGAGAAAGTCTTCATTTTCCCAGCAAAAGTCATGCCCTTGATTGGCATAGATATGATCAAGGCTTTTTTTCCATTAGGCAAGACTACCCAAGAATCTGAGTCTCTTAAGGACTTTCTTTCTTTTTTTTTTTTTTCAGAACCAGGGATCAAACTCACGACCTCACACTTGCCAGGCAGGCATGTATGCCACTGAGCTAAATCCCTGGCAGTTAGGGACTTTCATAAGCATCCAAAATATAGTTATCTCACCAGGATTTCTGTGATGAAGAAGGTATCTGTCTACAATTCCATCATCCATGTATCTTTTTCTAGCCTTTACACTGTGTTGGTGTTCTAGGAATCAGACAATCTGAAAGATGGAAGATTTTTCTTTTGTTTTTGTTTAGTTTAATTTTGTTTTTTGCTCATTAGCATTATAAGCGCAATTATCCAGGCAGTAAATGATGCTCTGCATTTCTAAGGCCCTGTGCAGGAACACCTTGGAGTACAGCTATTCTGTTTGAATTCAGCTGTGGGCTGTTAAGTCCCTTGTAGTTTCTACTCCCAGTGCTAATTCTAGCCCATCACTGGTGCTGAGGCAGAGAGCAGTTGGTTCATCTCACCAGGAGAGATGAATCTGGAAACTTCTGAGCTTCTGAGTTGGAGTTCTCAGGGTTTAACCCACCTAGGAAAACCTCATGGTAAAAAATTGAATATGTGAATCATACACCCAGGGTAAAGAGCTGTGTGAAGAGGAGCTGAGGATGATCTGAAGTTTGGATGATGTCTTTTCTATTCCGAGGTTTGATGCAGAGGCCACAGACTGCTACTTGGTCTGCATAATCTGGATTTCAGTCTACTAAAGCTGGAAGGAATTAAGCAACATTGAACAGATTTAGAACAAAACTTCATCCTTAATAAAGATGTAACATCACCAAAAGGGCAACCAGACAACCAGAGGTTTCTATGAAAGTAAAGCTCTTCAAGGAGACTGACAATGACATGGATGAAGTGTAGAAAGAGAAATTTAACATAATTCTAGGAAAGCATTGAAAGAACTTGAGGAAATAATAAATAGGATTTTTTTTCTGAAACTAAAAAATTCAACTGGAATAATATCAGTATTCATATTTTCACTTATTTAACGAAAAAAGGAGACAGCTAACTTGATCACGTGGTATGCTGTGTCTCTAAATGCTGTACCTAGGGGTATCGCCGAGGAGACTAAAGAGAAAAGCAAGCCAAGCAGCGCTCAGTCACAGCATTTGATTATAATTTACAGAGTTAAATAAATTTCCATGTGTCCATGCCAACGTGCATAGTAATTGCATAAATCATTGATCACTCCTGAGGAGCCGCTCTTTGTAGAGAAATATCAAATCAGTTAACATAAAAAGGAATGAGGCAAATCCAAAATTGTAATTAGTGATTCACCACTATAATAATAGTTGAAAGATCTGCCAATGGAGACCCAAATCAGCAAGTGAAAATTTGAAAAGAAACAGGCTATACCACATACTGAAAGTAACTTTACAAAGAAGAAATCTGGCACTGCATTGACTAAGAGTTTAGGGTACATATCACAAGGAATAGGACCCCCTGACACAGGTATTCAACGGTGTCACATTTCGGGAAGGACATGGCATCATTTCTGGGGAATTCTTGCCAGAAACTGCTCAAGCTTGATTTAATAGGAAATACCAGGCAAACCCAAATTGTATGACATTTTACAAAGTAACTGATTAGTTATGTTAGGAATCAGAATTGTCAAGGTCATGAAAAACAAGAAAAGACTAAGATATTCTCAATCATTGGAGGCTGTTAAAAAGTCTCAGCAACTAACTACCATCGGGGACACTGAATTATATTCTATAGAAAACCAGGTAATTGCGATGGTGGAACTGAGAAATTTGCATATGATTTGTAGCTTCATAATTAATGTTAATTTCCTGATTTTCATAAATGAAATATGTAACCCAGGCACAAGGTAAACGCAAACTCAAGCAAATGTGTTACTTTTCTGTAAATCTAAAATTATTTCAAGACAAACATGTTTTTCGAAGCTGGACACATGGCAGTTTCATGTGGACCCATTGATTTTTGTGTCATTTGCAAACTATCCCATAAAACCTACAGGGATATATATTTTTTTTCTCTGTCCCAGTACACAGTTGAATTTTCTCCCGAAAGCTGCTACTAGTGCATGAGTAGACACGTGTGCTCATGTAATTTGCAAGATCTGTTGATAAAGTTCAGCCTAATTACTAATAAAATGCATTTACCATACATGTGTTTACACTCTGCAGAATAAAGAAAATCACAATACAAAAGTCATGAGTGCAGCACACAATTTAAAATGTTAATTGCCCCTTAGTGTCACTGTGGGTAAATTGGTGTTGCACAAGAGTGACATTTTTAGCACTAATACATATAACACAACTCCTTTAAAACACATTTTGGCACTCCAGAAATTAAATAAATTTAGGGTACTGGATAATTGGTTTTCATTAAGATTTCCTTAATTACATATTTGCTAAATAGGTTTATTAGTGATCACAAAGTGAATCTATAAAGCAACTTGTAAAAATGTAGATTCACCATGTAATGGGCTATTCCTGGTTATTACTATCAAGAGAAGCAGGGCTTGTGTTAGGCCACATTTTGCTTAATGTTTGCTTTGAGGTATTTGATTGTTCTAAATGGGTAGTAAATGTCCATTTAAAAAGAAAAGCAATAGTTAGCAAGCTGCATAAAAAATTACTGCAGGGCTGTCTATATTTCCACCAGTTTTCATCAAGTATGTAAAAGCAATCACCCTCAATCATCCCATCTGCTGGAGTCACTTTCAGAGGGAGCCAGGCTGACTCCCATGGAAACCACAGCAGGGAGGGTGTTTCAGTCCTGAGACTGAAACCACTGGCAGCTTACAGACACACCTCTCTCTCTCTGTCTCCCCCTCTACCCTGCCTCTCTCCCTCTCTTTCTTTGGCTCTGCATGCTACCCCAAAATCTAAATGGATTTCAAATCAATTTTTTTAAACCAAACTATAGAGAAATTTACATCACATAATTGTTGATTAACCAACTTTCAGTTCTATATAAATGCTTTGGTAACACACAACAGATAAAGTTAAATGACTGACCATAGCTTCCCTTTTTATAGAATGAAAAAAAAAAGGGGTGGGGGGGAGAAATCAATGAGAGAAAATAAAAGACACAAGAACTAGATGACCTGAAATTTGCAACCAGAAAACAAAGTTTCCCAGCATACATTTGTATTTTGTTCCTTTTGCTTGCTTGTAAGAAGTAAAATGAGGTTGACTTTAAGTGTAGTATTACACAAGACACTTTGATTTAAAAAATTTTGGGGAGGAATATATTTATTGATGTTTGGTATGGAAGAGGAGTTAATTTGTTTAATAGTGGAAGTTGCATTTAAATAGTACAATGAATGTTTAAATTCTAGAGACAGATAATTACTCTTTATAGTAGTTTTCCCTTCTCCCGAGGTGCATCCTCAGAAACTGACCCTTCAATTATGTACAGAAAACAACCCATTTCAGTTATTGTTTAATCAGTGTTTATTGAATTAACTCTATTGAGTGTTGCACATCAGGCCCTGTGCTTGGTGATGAAACAGTGTGAAACACAGAGAGCCCTCTGCTGACCTCACAGGTGCAGACCCAGGAGAGGGCAGGCAGATGCTGGAAGAGGGGTGAGTTCTAATAATTTCCCTTAGAAATGGAGATGAGGAAAAGCTGTGCTGACAAAAGATGCTCAAAACAATGGAATGAGTCAACTAAGGAATCTGAGGGGAAAGAATTTACTGTAGAGGAAGAGCAAATAAAAAATCTATGCAAATAAGAGCAGGAGGTGAATGGGAAGTAAACTGGATGGGACTGAAAAAAATATTAGTGCACAAAAAAAAAAAAAAAAAAAAAAAAAAAATAGATGTACTGGGGCCCTAGCTGAGACTAGGGCCAGGTCAAGATTGTGTTTAAATCAATGATGCAATTTACACAATAGCAAAATTCTTGATAGGGAAATGTGGTATCTATAATTAATCTGGCAGAATAGGTTACCTGTGTGAAATACGTGCTCATGCTCATGTTGCAGCCTTGTGTGTGTGCACTGTGAT